AGCGGGGGATTAGCTCAAATGGTAGAGCGCTCGCTTAGCATGCGAGAGGTAGCGGGATCGATGCCCGCATCCTCCACGTTTTCTTACTCCGTGTTTTAGTCCCTGTGGATCTGTGCCGCCCTTTGGACTCCGACCCGCGCGTGGATTTTGGTTTGTCTGTGTTTAAGCTCAGGTACATTTTACATTAAAAACACTCTGGTGGGGTACATAAGAAATGAGGTAGTTAACTCACTGCGTGGATAATTGTAACTGTGGGCTCACAGTCTGAAGCTGTGTTGCTGTGACTCTGCACTCTGTAAATAATATTATAATAATTATCTAAATAATTTGAATTTATCTTTCAAATTATTTAGATTTGTAGTATTAAATATTACTGACACACGGGTAATTAAATATAACAAGTTGTAAAATAAAATAAAGCTAAATTTAAAAAATATGGAAAAGTACCGAAAAAAGCAAATAAACTATTATTTGAATATGAAAATAAAAGAATATATAATGGACGATGCAGTAATAAATACTGAAAATAAGCAGTTAATAAATAAATCCCCCCGCTGGCTCCTTCGGTTTTCTTTCACTGTATTTATTCAGATGTTATATAAACACAACAAATAAGAAGATTTCATTTATTCCTCAGTCACACACTTTCATTAAAAACAAGTCTAAATGCAGGAAGATGATTTGGTTTGCTGGCCTCAAACACTTCTTTGTGCTGTCCAGTGGGGGGCGCTGTTCACCTGCAAACATTAGCTGGTGAACAGCTGTGACTTCTCCACCCTCCATCACAGTCAGAACATCTGATGAGAAATAAACCTGACACCACAAACCATGAAAAGATCTGCAGATCACGTTTCCCTCACCTGCCCTGATGGGCGTGAGCAGCGATAACCAGGTGAGGGTCACTTCAGGTATTCAGGTCAGTGAGTCACCTTTGCTAAGCTCACCTTTTTAAAGTTGTTTTTTCTCACGGTCATGTTTTTCTCTCTTCTTTTCTGTGTGTCTAATTTGCCGTATGTGGCGCTACCTGCTGGATGTTATCCAGAGCCACACCTGTGGGGCCGACCAGCCGCCATGACCCGAAGACCCCCAAAGAGAGCAGCTTAGGCCAAAACCTCGTCAGGAAAAGTTTACGGAAGTTATATCATACTGTTTATACTTCCTGTCTATCCAAACTGGTACCTGGATGCTAACAGGTGAGCGGCTACTTCCTGGTAAACTCTGCCCCCTGGTGGTGGGAGGGAGTGATTTGTCTGTAGAGCGAGCTGATGCCGAGCCGAGAAGTTCAATCAGAGCAGCAAACACTTGAAAACTGGAGAACATACAAATACTTTCACACAATACTCGACTAAAAGTACTCAAGTACACTGCAGGCCGGTCCCTCCTATATAGACACGCCCCTTTAGCAAGAAAGCTCAAAGCACACCAGGAGTCGTCCTGCTGGTCGTCATGGCGAACACATTTTAATTAGTCACTGCTTCAAGACGGCGTGGGCAGCTTCGATGACCGTGACGCGGCTCCTACCCCTCGCAGCAGGCGTGGTGCTGGCGGTGGTCGGAGCTCGGGCCACGTGGAGCGGGGGCAAGTGGGCGTGGTGGTCATGCTGACGCAGCAGAAGCTGCAGCTGTTCGTTCTCGCGCCTCAGCTCCTTGCTGTGCTTCCTCAGAGCTTCACGCTGCAGCACGGCGCCGCCGCTGCTGCTCCGCCGCAGCTGCTGCAGTTCCGGGAACCTACAGACGTCCTGCAGACAGATGGACAGGTGAGCTACCTGTGGGGGAGGAGCTTCCTGGCACTGTGCTTGTTTTAGAAGCTGCACACCCACCTCGCTAAAGTTAAACTGAAAGGACACAAGTTGGGGAAGGCGGAGCCTACCTTTGCTGGCGTGTCCTGTTGGCACTCGTCTGTGCGTCGTGATGATGTCAGTAACGTGTCGTGTTGCGTCTCCAGCCGGCGGCAGATGTCCGCGGCCCGTAGAACCCTCTCGCCCTGAAACAGCGGAGCACACGGAGGGTGAGGAGCAGTGCCGACAGGTGAAGCAGACAGGTGAGGCGGGCTTCACCTTGGTGACGACGGCCTGCAGGTTCTTGGTGGCGGCGTCACCCTGGACGGTGAGCTCGGTGAGCCTCTTCCTCGCCGCCGTGTGCGACTGGGTCAGGTGGTCCTGGAGTGCGCGAGACCTGCAGTTGAGCTCGTTTATGGCGGCGGTCAGCTCCTCCTCCATCGAGCTGTTTCCTGCCTTGTTGGAGATCATCTTCTGCCTCAGCCTGCGGACGGCGTCCTGACAGGAAGTGAGCGAGTGAAACACGTTTACAGTTGACACACAAACTCCTCCTTCAAACAGCTGCAGGCATCATATTAGGACTTCAGGTATTTATTAGGGGGCGTGGCCTGAACGACTGATAATTCGTTTCCAGGACTGTGGTTGGCTCACCGGGTCAGCTGACTGTGGATGTGACACACCTGTGACACACCTGCACGCATGAGCGGAGCTCAGAGACAGGTGGAGGTGTTGTGAGCACTGACCTCCAGCTTCTTGGTGGTCTTCAGGTCTTCGCTGATCTTCTTCTGGTTGTCTGCGAGCTGCTTCTCCAGCTGCGTTACCTTGGCGATACTTTTCTGCAGGTGCTCTAAGCTCGTGGCGTCGCTCGCCTCCTCCCTGCCCTCCAGAGACGCCACCTGTGCACAGAGGAGGGGTCAGCGCAGCCGGACGGGCCTGAGAGGGAGACCACGGGCCGGCGCCGTACCTGCTCCTCCAGAGAGCACGTGTACATCGCCAGCGTGTCCTCGAGCAGCATCCTGATGTCATTCATGGCGTCCGTGTTGTGCAACTCCGCCGTCAGGGTCAGCTCCTGCAGCTGGATCTCCTGCTGCTGGGACTGCTGCAACATCTGCTGCCTGAAACGCCACACAGGGTCAGAGGTCAACGCAGCTCCACCGGCCACAGGATCATGTGACTCTGACATCACAGGCTTGGAGGAGGCGCTGACGGCAGCGTACGACTCACCTCTGAGAGCTGACGCTGGCGCTGACGTCCTCCAGGGCGCGCTCCCACTGCTGCTGCAGACCCTGCAGCCGTGCGGCCTGCAGCGCCCACAGCGCCTCCATGTGGTGCAGGTGGCAGCGCTGCATGTGCGCCTCCTGGCGCTCCGTCTCCTGCACGTCGCCCACCAGCTTCTGCAACACAAACGGGCGGGAGTCTGGTCAGCGGGGTAAGACGAGCGCGGGAGGCGTGGTGAGCACAGGCGAGGGGCGGAGCACCTGGACGACGCTGTCCAGGTCGTCCAGCGTCCTCTCAAACGTCTGCTGGAGCACGATGATGTCATGGCGCAGCTCGGCATCCCTGGTCTGGCGGAGGATCG